CGGTCTGAACTTCTGGAACGACAGGACCGACCAGCGGTCCTGGCAAAGTACAGGAAAGTGAAGGGTCTATATAAGACTGGTACGTCTGCCATTAGATAGGAGCTTCGTGCTCAACTTAGTTATCAATCTTATCATATTAGTTTGACATCTTTGATACAAGTAACGAGTTCACTTCCAAGTGAACAACCCGATAGTCTTCTTCTTATCATAGCATACCAACAAGCGAACACCCAGCCAAGTTTGGTTAGCCAGTTTGAGTATTCGTTACAATTAAATAGATTTGAATTAGATTAGGAACTTTCGGCAATTAAATAGATTAAGAGGCGTTTATTTAATCTAATTAATTTAATTAATAAAAAATATTTTAAAGTACTACTAATATAGGTAAAGAAGCTTTTAAAAAGCTAATAAAGAAAGAAAATAAGAGTAAAGATATAATGGATAATTTAGTAACTAAGGAATAGATATTATAACTAGTATAAAGGGTTAAGTATAATTATATAACCTACCTTATATTCTACTTGTATAGTAGAGTTTTCTCGTCTAATTCTAGGCTCCTTATAGCGTTTTTAACCTACTTTAACTATCTATTCTATCCTTTATCGTATATAGTATTAGGGCTCTTACTTAGCTAGTATATAGTCTACTAAGTACCCTCCGAGCCCTCGGTCCGCTAGTCGGAGGCTTCGACCTATATTAATTAATTTAATTAGATTATGTAATTAATTAAGTAATTAATTAAGATTAGAAGGTCTAGTTAATTAGAATAACCAAGATTAAGACCCTCTTTGTTGTTACGGAGTTGGAGGGACAAGGGGTAGATCACGTGTAGCACGGCACGTGCGTGTTGCTCAAATCTTGTATATAAGCTTCCGTTCCTCTGGAACTCTCTTCTTCCCTAACTTTGTTATTCGCTCAATATAGCAGTTTACACTTGACTCCGTATCTTATCACAGCAAGTAGTGGTTTACTCCACACGTTTACATTAGTTAATCTATTCTAATCATTCTTTACGCTAAGTAGTATTAAGTTTTTTATAGGCGTATAATATAATATATAAAAAATAAGGAAAAATGATTAAGGAATCCTATTTATAATAACCTTTCTACCCCTCTACTAATCTATAACAACTCCTTTACTTATATACTATATACTATATACTATAAACTCTAGATTTAAGATTCCAGATTCTAGAAAAGATTTAATCAACCACCTAAACCTAATTTGTGAAATTAATTAAAATATATACTATATCCCTGTAACCATGTAAGAGTAAGAGTTAGGGGTACAAGGGTATGTATACGCTTTCTACTTCTATATAGGTAGAGGGATAGGGAGGGATAGAGAGGGAGAAGGAGGGAGAAGGGGTTAATACTAGGTAGGTAGGTAGTAATAATTGAAAGGGAAAGGAAAAGTAGTATTAAGTTTTTTATGGGTGTGTGATGTGATGTGTGATGAGTGATGATTGATGAGTGAGGGATGAGGAATGAATAATAAATTTAAGGGAAAGTGAAAAGCTTCAAAGGTAAATATAAGAGGCAAAAGAGTTCCATCATATGATTGCAAGTGATTCAAGTAATCCAGATAATGCAAGTGATTCAGCATTCCTATATACAAAGGAGTAGATCATAGATACACTACAGATAGTATGTATATCTCCAATCCATCTAATCCACCTCACCACCCTTGTTCCCTCTTCCCTCGAGCTCTTCCCTTAATCTCTTATCTGCTTATATAAGTATCTCTATCTTCATCCCATCCCATGCATCCCATCCCACCATCCCATCCCATCCCATCCCATCCATCTAAGCGAAGAACGCCAAACTACCCCCCTTCCCTCCCGCCCTCCACAACCATACCCCACCCAGCAGCAAACCAACAACACCAACAACAACAACACCAACAACAACAACACCAACAACAACAACACCAACAACAACAACAACAACAACAGCAACANCCACCATCCCATCCCATCCCATCCCATCCATCTAAGCGAAGAACGCCAAACTACCCCCCTTCCCTCCCGCCCTCCACAACCATACCCCACCCAGCAGCAAACCAACAACACCAACAACAACAACACCAACAACAACAACACCAACAACAACAACACCAACAACAACAACAACAACAACAGCAACAGCGATATCGAAAAAAAAAAAAAGAAACGCCAATATCCGTGCAAGAATTCCCAATCTGCCTTGGTATCAATGAAGTCAATGAAGTAGAAGAAGAAGAAGAAAAGCGAACCGCCTTATGCTGGCAACACGATACGATGCAAAAACGGTGCTGGCTGGAACCATGAAAACCCCCAAAGAAAAATGGGTACAGGAAGAAAAGAAAAAGTAAAGAAAGCAAAAGAAAAGTAAACTATGCAACCTAATCAATCGGTTGGTAAAGGTGTAATCAATCTCATCAACACAAAAGAAAAGTAAACTATGCAACCTAATCAATCGGTTGGTGAAGGTGTAATCAATCTCATCAACACAAAAGAAAAAGAAGAAGTATGGGGCATGTCTCGTATAATGCTAAAAACAATAGCTCAAGCAAAGAAGGTAGGCAAAGGGTAGCAAATACTGCCCCCTACGAAGGCACAGTACTCTTCGAATGAAGATGAAAATGCTTCTTATAAACCTGCTCCGGAGAACTCGGTTCCGTCTTGAATCGTCTGGCCGAGGACATGATAATGCCCATATTCGCATTAGCCTGTACAGACCCCCTTCTCGACGAATAGGGCGAGGTAGCAAGAACCCGATCCGTGCTCGAGGTCACGGGCTGGGTATTAGAAAAAAAATCTAGATCTTCGGATTCTACCAGGAAACGATGTTTGTTCCCGTACAGATCGAATTCTTTGCTTTCCATTTCGAGTTCGGGCGTACTGTCATCGGTGTGCGAATCGATGTCTGCGTCGGAGCTGGGGGGTGAATAGGCGGTCTCGGTTGCGGATGAGAAGTCGGTGGGTAACTCGGCGGCTTTGAGAGGTGTGAAGAGGGTGAAGGGGTCGATCTCGCGAGCTTGTGGTTTGGTGGTGCGAGGGCCGAGGGTAGCGAGTGGCGGTAAATATCTTCTGGGGATATTCCAATAGGAATTCGAGGTTCGAAGTTGCGGTTTGGAGTGGTTTTTCCTTGCCGTTCGATCCCCATCTAGACCTAATGTTTGCATATCACTACCACTATCTCGTCTCTTCTTTTCAAGCTTGCCACTGGAGTACGATAAACTTCCAGTAGTCATTCTCCGAAGGTCAACTTGACTGGGACTAAACACCACTCGTGCACGTAATTTACGAACAGCAGCATCCAATTCCAACTCCACCGCACAATGATTTCGAATCATGCTTAGTTTTGGCCAGGTTGCTCGCTCGCCACTTAGACAAGCTGCCAACATGAATTCCGTAGTTGGATTCTTTAGCATTCGTGGGAAATCCTTGTATTCAATCTGCGGTAGAATGGTGATATCCCCCGAATATTTCTGACTCAAGATTGATCGAGCTTTCGTGACCAGATTTGGAAAGACACCCATCTCAGCAAGTACATGCATACGGTGTAAAGCCTCATCCTTGGCAAGATTGGTGAGGGTATATACCCACCCTGGTCCAGAAGTATTGGCTTGCGCGTCTTTGGTGATACTCTCGTCATCCTTGATGAGAAACGGGACCACATGTGGATTGACCTGTGAGACAATGAAGTGATTAACGTTGAACATTTCAGCCAATCTAGTCATTGGTAAATCATTATCAACACTTCCATCAATCCAATGCTGCGGTGTTGGATTCCAAGGAGTATGTTCACCAGTCGCTGGATTTTTGACCAAAAGTTGAGCGGCAGAAAACACCAAAGGAACTGAGCATGACGCAGCAACCGCAGACCAAATCATCACATTGGGTGCTGTGACATAATTCAACAGTCGAGGCAATTCATATACCGAGGCTGAGGAAACACAAATGTTCAAGATCCTCCTTGTACGGTTGTATGCTTCCTGAAAAGTCATGTCCCCAAGTAGTTCTTGCATCACTCGAGTGAGATGCTTGATCTCGATCCAGGATCCTTCGGTAAGTAGCCGTCGCACTCGTTCCAATATGGTATCCTCTCTCCCATCCTCTTCAAATACTGCAAGATCACCATGTGGAAAGCTTTGCAAGACCTCGGGTATCTCCTCATCAATTCTTGTACACAGCACAGCGCAAACAATACTCCCGGCCGAGGCACCAGAAATGATGCGCGGTAATAAGTTGGACTCAAAGAGTGCCTTGAGAACTCCAACATGATTCATGCCAAAGGTAGCACCTCCACTAAGCAGTAATGCACTTCTGCCGAATGCTTGTCTGGCATAGACCACCTGCTCCAGTATATCCTTCGTTTCCAGTCCATCTGGTAGTTTATGTTTGCTAATTTCCACCATCTTTCGAATGGTATCGACAGTGGAATCGATATACCGTTCGATCAAATTCTTGGTTCCAATATGAGAGTGCTTGTACAGACGAATGCTTCCCATACCACCCAAATCTCTCGACAAAGCCGTTCGTACCAAGTACATCATCAACTTGACATCGCAGTTTATCCTAGCTTCGTCCAGCTGCTTCAGCCGTGTCTCAATGAGAACCGCATCGAATTCAGAAGAGGTCGAGTCCATCTTCCAAGCTTCGTTGTCCTCCAAGATATCCAGCTCCTTGGCCGCACGCTGCCATTTCTCCATGCTATCGGCATTCCTCATCCGCAGAGCCGAAATCTGGCGCATCTCCTGTTTCTTTCTCTCCGCTATCCTCTCCACTTCGGTGGTTCCATCATAAAAGCCGGATACGGTATGATTGACCAAGTTGATGCTGCCCCTTAACGCTTTTGCCGCCGGTGCGAAAAGACCCCAAGTCTGATCTGACAAAGACTTTTGTCGTTGGAAGGAGGCATCGTCGCTGAGAAGATATCCCCGGATTGGAGCGGAAGAGGGGAGCAGCTTTTGGTGTTTGCTATCGTCGATACATAGTGTGGCTGGCTTCTGAAGGTATTCTAACAGAACCATCTTTTCTTGCGCCGGCCTCCATGGAAGGGGGGGTTGTAGGTATTCGAATTCGTGATCGTGTAGGTGAAAGGGAGTATGTTGAGGAAGTCGGAATCAAAAATATGTATGCATCGTCGTGGGTGGTTGTGGGGAGAGGTGAATAGGAGGTGTTGAGAAGTGTTGAGAGGCTGGTCGGTGTCGGTCGGGGGTATTGTATGATGACGGTGAGGGAGCAGGATTGGATGGGATGAGATGTCGAGGGTGTGATGGGCAGGGGAGGCCGGGAAAGTGAATGCTTACCGATTTCAGCGCGCGCAGACGCCGACCGGGTTCAATTTACAGGGCAATGGCAACGGCAGCGCGCAGAATCCGGGGGTGCACGCGGGGAGAGAACTTTTACTGTAGCGAAGTTCCAGGTTTCAAGGTTTGGCATTGGCGGGGTGTCACGAGGGGCTCTATAACTGCAGGTGCAGTGTAGGCCGGAGGTGTTCAGGTCTGCTCTGCACACTCACCACTATCAATTCTCTCACTCCCCCTCTTCTCACCTATTTCTGCTGGCCAGTGAGGCCCAGAGAAGTGGTAATGGCAATGGCGATGGTCACGATGGTCACGATGGTCATCGAGTATGGAGTACTCGTAGGCGTGACACTACTGCTAGTCGGCCGGCGCGCTTTGTCTCGCAACATCCTTTGTCACAACCGACGAACCAAGACGGCTGCCCGGCTGCCCGACTGCCCGACTGCCCGACTGCCCCACGATTGGCTGTATCCACAGTGTATCTATGGGGGAAGTGGAGGTCTACAGACCCCAACTGGAGTTGGCATGGGGAAGTCTCGGGGGTGTGCAACACTGTAACTAGCGTAACTGGTGCTGGTGTCACGGTGTCACGGTGTCACCGAGTCCCATGACTCGATCTGAATCTGAGTGCAACTCGTGCAACTCAAGGCATTGAAGGTTACCTGTCCTGTGCAGTACCAGTACCCACTCGGCAGTCGTCTTGGGGGTCACACTGAATAGTGGTCACACTGAATAGTGGTCACACTGAATAGTGGCCACACTGTAAGACAAGTGATGACGGTAAGTGTCTACGCACCCCACAAAGATAGACCGAAGAACCTCCTCTTTGGTACCTGAGCTGGCTAATCGACCGAGTATGAGTGGCTGCGGAGGCGAGTGCGCGTGGGCAGAGCGGAGGATTGTCCGGAGAATCACCATCTGCGGGGGAAAAGTATAGATTAGGTACGACGGGAGGACTCGTGGGTAGGGTTGATACCATCATTGGCACGTAATGTGCTCTCTTTTTTTTTCTCTCACCTGATATCGATCATCTCAATCTCAACCCTTTTCTTTTCTCTGTCATCTGCATCAGATCAAATCCAAGAAACACGATCAAGTACAAGTACCAAGTACTCCCACAACACACCGCTGTGTAATACAAATACTCGTCCCTCATTATGTCCAGTACCACTCCTCCCCCAGGTGGCACCATCCTTAGTCCCTCCCCCCACCGCCATCTCACAAGTCCACCCAATCGCCATCACACTCATCACACTCCCACATCACCACGCAACAAATCCACAGCGGCCCCTCTCCTTCCTGCAAGCCCGTAAAGCCACCTACTATCTCCGCACTCCCTCATCCTTCCTTAGCGAGTTCTGTTCTGCAAAGAAGTTGCACCTTTACTCTTTCATGTGAAAATGGGATATAATAAGAGGGACAGGCTATCATTAGCTTCATGTCTGTGTGGCTTGCTTGAGACATGCATCTTCCTCCCACCCGAAGAGGACCCGGACCTTTTCCAAATTTAGAGCCTGGTTGTTTTGCGTAAGTTGGGACTGTGGCATGTGAAGATGAATGTCCTTAGAGAGAGGGATCACTAATCACTATCTAAGATTTAATCTGAGTTTGATGCTTGTTTTGGGGGGGTTGATAAGAGGGGGAGGTGGGATGCTTGATTCGATTTGTTTTTCATCATACAGTACTTACTTAATCGAACTTCTTGATGGGAAATGTCATTTTGCCGGCTCTGTTGCGGACATGCTCCTAACTTCGCAAGGCTCTTGAAACATTCGTTTCCTTTCCTTGCGAGTTGTCATGATTAAGATTTCAGTCATGTCTACTCTTTATCTATTCTTAAAAAACTCCACCACCATATATATTGAAAATAGCAGAACGCAAACTCTTTTATGTAAGATCCCACACTACTTCTTAACAAATAAATCAACTTAGTATATAAAAACATAGTATCTATTCTAAACCCCGACATAAGTTTTAGTATGCTTCTTACTATATTAAACTCCACTTAGTACTTAGTACTTAGAACTACTATCGTAACTAGTAATAGAATCTTCTTTTAAAGCGTTATAGTACGACTACATGAAAATATATCTCTTATCGTATTACTACTATTCTAATATAATAGATTTAGATTTAGGATATTACTATACCTCCTAAAAATCCATAATATATCTCCGGTATTTAAATGGTATTAGCTTTTATACTATTGAACCAGGAAGTTGGTCGATATAATGGATAGACTAGAGTAATAGGTAGTCCCTAGTTATAGCCTAAAGATATTAGGAAAATAAAATTAAATGAAAGCATTCATCCTCTTATGAGAGAGAACAAAAATAAACACCTAGCCCCTAAAAAACCCACCACCTCTATCGTCCTCCCCTACGAAAAAGAAATAACGATTCAAAACACAATCCCTCTAGACTACAGTTCCTAGGAAACAACCCCATTCCAATCCCACATAAACTCACTTTCCATCCTACAGTATAACCATCCCACAAACCCACCCACAAAAAATGTGTCACAAAAGCATCCACCTCTATAACTGCCACCACACCAATTCTTCCCAAAGGAAGACCTTCACCACGACCCTCTGTCACGGAAAAGACGAGTATCGTGTTCGCTCACCAAAACGCTGACATTCATGTGTCGCCTTAGAAGCTACCACAGCTCCAGCTCCAAAGGCTTCCACAGTTATAGAAAATGCCGATCGAGCACGGAGCAAGACTTGCTCCGACGCTGGAGATATCCCTCTAACCTCAATGATTAGTGAGAATACGAGGGCTTTGAAGAGGAAGCTTATGTTACTCGCTAGGATAAGGGACGGGGGTAAGAACACGCACGCTGAAGACGAGAGTAGTGAGGGTAGCGAAGGAGAGAGTGAGCGTGCAAAGTCGAAGTCGAAGTCGAAGTTTTTGGTGAGTAGATTCATGCCGAGATGTGGGAGGAGTAGGGGAGATAAGGGTAGTGGTGGGTATTGTGTTACTTTAGATGGGAAGAGGTGAGTGGATTTATTTTATGAGTTGGTTACTGGGAGTTTCTTATTTTGGGTTAGATACTTACTTACCTGAGCGATGTACGAGAGATGAAGGTACCCTTTTTCATTGGAGCTATGTGAATTGCTTTGCGGCTTTGCCTTCTTTGTTTTATACTTGTCTTTTTTGCACGGCTTCTTTATTTGTTTTGTTTTGTTTTACTTTCTTGATATGTCAAAATCGAACTTTACAAATTACTTGTCTTTTTAGTCTGCTCGATATCTGTTTTGTTTCATTTTACTTTCACAATATGTTGAAACCCGCCTACCTTAAGGAAATTCTTATTAATTTAACACTCTGTTTCCCTAACCTTTTCGAAGACCCGAATACGACCCTATGTAAGTATGAAATGTAAAGATAAAGTACGAAGTGAAAAGACGTCAAAACAACCTTACTTAGGGTAATATTTAGAACATTGGAAATAAGTCAGTTAGTATAAGTAACAGATGTATTTAGGCTATAGAGTTAAGAGTGGTTATGAATTTAGAAAAGATATTTTAACGGTAATCGACAAAAATGCCACCTAATTAATCTTTTGGCGACAAAAATGCCACCTATGTACCACGTCACTGGTTTACTAGTTAAAATGTTAGTAAAGTAATGTCTATATCATTAGTACTGTAGTAGTTTTGTTATAGAAATAGGGGTATTTTTTATCGCGAAAAGGTAGCATTTTTAATAGTATAGAGGTTTTATTTCTTTATTAGATTTTATAAGTAAGATACCTAGAAAACAATAAATTATATAAATTAGCTAACTAGTTACTACTTCCTAATACTATATAGGCCTGTTCTTGTCGATTTTAGTAGTAGTTAAGCCTAGTACCGGGAGGGTTTACGTCTAAATCCTAGTTAGTTTATAAGCCTTAATTACTTCCTTCTAAATAATATCTTCGATTCCTTGCCCCCCAGCCTCAACTACGTTATCCTAGCCTTCTTGTTATTGAGCCTTATCGACTAACTTGTATATCTTTAACTTCGTAGCCTCTACTAGAGGGTAGGCGATAGTACGGGGTGTTCTCTTTACGTGGCATATTATATCCGCTTTAAGGCTGTTAATATACAAAGTACTATTTACCTGAGTAGAGGCTACTTGAAATCAAGGAATCACGCTAGCAAGTAAGCTAGCATTTCACTATATGTTAGACTACTAGGACATCTAGAAAGTGGATATAAATGCTACTGTTTTACAACAAAAATACTACCATTTTCCGACAAATATGCCACTAGTTCTATGTTCATTAAATTTATATGTAAAACCTATATTAAAAAAATGAGTGGTATATAAGTGGTATTTTTGTCGCTAAAAAATTAATTAGGTGGTATTTTTGTCGTTTTTAATTAATTAGGTGGCATTTTCGTCGTTTACCGTTATATCTAAGTTATTTATCACGACTCAAGAGACGTTATGAGTTTTTTTATTATTCTCCATACACCTGACTTGAGAATAATACTACTTTTATAAAAGCCTTGTGTAAATATCTAAGGATTAGACTAATTAGTTACAATCAGAGTTTGAAATCATTATTACTGTGAGGGTTGGAACCCATGATGGAGGCTCGGGCCATGCCCTCGCTAAGCACTGACCAAAGTCCCCGCTCGGCATTGGCCATTGCTCCACTGCTAAATTGGTTTCTCCTTTTCTACACTTTTCTACTCTATTCTTTTGACGTCACGTATTTATCAAACAGTTTCTTGGAAGACTCCAGAAACTCTTCCTCTCTCTATATATAGAGGAAGAGATTGCATGTATGTAGTCTTCACGCACTTCTTAATTGAATATTCGAAACCACACCTTTGAGCTATTCGAGGTCTGGCCTCTCACAATTACTACTATTTTTTATCTTTTTACTTAAAATAGGGCTACAAAGAGAGCTAGCTGGTTTACTTATCCCTAGATAGACGTTAGGTATAACAAAGAGTTAATAACTAGAAGTTCTCTTTATAAAAGAAGGCTAATAAAGGGCCAAGACTAGATTATTATTTACAAAATCACGAATTTCAACAAAGGGAAAAAGGAATCGAGATAGTAGGAATGTATATATTTCTTATCAAGTTAATTTTAATGAGATTTCGACAGGTTATTTTAATCGAATGCGTAAGAGTATGTTATATATCTAAGTAACCGACGTAGTCGTTACTATATATACACCTCTCTTAGGATAGTATTATCTCAAAAGCCTTATATAACTAAAATAGTTATAAAAGGGAGCTCAGAATAATCTAGTAATGCTTACTTTTATTAACCTAATATAAATCTAACTATTTTATTTCATCTAAAAGTTTACGATAAATACTTTTTTTTTATATTGAATGGCTTGTTCTAATCTTCTTCATGTTCGTAATCCTGTTTGGCGGTGGGACATTGCTTCGTCTCCACAGTACTCGCTTGAATAGCGTCTTCGAGGAGCGCTTCATTGTCTAGCGGCTAGGAGGTAGGAGGTACCTACAAAGATTCTAGAAGCGAATTCTCATGCTGGTGGTCAAGCCACTGTCAGAGTCGATACACCTCTAAAGACAGGCGGGGATTCTTCTCGTGTAAAGAGCAATACCCACGTCTCTTACCCTCCATCTACAATACTCCAATCACAGAAGCTTATCCAGTACCTCAAAGAAACCCGAATCTCAAAGACCCAACAACAAAGTCCTCCGCTCAGACAATACAATACAAATACAACAAAGCACACTACTCACCCCCACAACCAAGGCCGACTCCAAAGCAACCAATTCCCCCGACACCTCTCACACTTATCATTAATCCTCACCGCGTAACTCCGATAAATCGGGCATTTCTCGCGCTCGATGTCGAGGCCGGAGCGTAAATGGCAGTCTATGACGGAGATGGAAGTTGCGCCTCGGTGGGAGCAGCGGGTGTATTTTGCGAGGATTTTCACGCACATGGCTGGTTTTATGTTGGGGTTTGAGTGGGTGCTAGGTGGGATGTTAGTAAGGGGGTAGGTTGTTATATATGGAGGGTTGGAAAGGCTGTTCTCGCGTGGACAGAGGATGGGATATAGAGTTGTTCTTGGGTGTAGATAGAGGGGGTGCTTTTTTTTTTATTTGGGGAGGTTGGTGGTATATTTCTTGGAAGTGATTTGGTTTTGGATAGTAGTAGACCTTAGTAATATAATATCTTCTAATAATTTTGCACGATTCTTGCTCTATTTATACAAATACAGAATCTTTTGAAGCCGAATACCAACTAAGTTAATCAACCCAAAACCTGCTTCGAGAGAAATATACCTATCCAATAACCAACAAGTACCATGTCTAGAAATCCATTTTATAATTAAAACCATACCAAAGTACCAAGTAGCAGAAGCAATATACGTTCCAAAAAAAATCTTAATTTCATCTCTTAAATTCTACAATTCTCTCTCTAGTACTTTCTCTTATAGTCGAGGATGCTAATACAAGTACGAGGCGTGGTCATTTCTCTTTATACACCTCTTTTATAATAATATTAGTCTAAAAGCGTCGAAAAACTAAAATAGCTATATAAAGGGTTTGGAATAATTATTAACGCTTACTTTCATTAGCCTACTTATACTAAAACAATTGTTTTGATTGTACTAGAAGCTTAGTATAACAATATTTTATATAGTATATGTAGAATAATAACTAGGTATTTTACTAGTTGAAACTACCATATTTAAGAAGACTATGATCTTAGTTTCCGTCTTTTTAAATATAAATAACCTAAATTATAAATTCTCTACGAATGCTTTCATTGGTAGAATCCTTAGTCTTTTCTTTCTAATTATTACTTACGATTATTTACTAAGTGTATTTTTCATTTCTTTTATATCCGTATACAAAAACCAAATACCACGAAAAAAAGAAAAAGAAATATGAACTCAGACAAGAATGAGAAATGGGATAAAAACATGGTTAGACGTAACATTACTAATATCAACGAATGGTGCAAAATCACATCATAACCAGGATCGTGCCCGTAAGTGGATACCCTACCGTACATATTGGTAATCTTCGGCTTTAACTTTCCTCGAGGGGCGAAACCCATCCATCCTTATCAGGTCCAACACCACTCACTCCCATCAACACATCAATATCAACATCAATATCAATATCACTACATTAAAATACCAAAATCATGGCAAGCCCTTCAGATCCAGATCCCGATTCAAACAACCCACACCTACCCCTACATGAAGAGACGCCTCTCCTCGTCGAACAGAGAGCACAACATGAACCGGAGGTGTCCGGTGATACAGCGTCGGATTCGGAGCCGAAGCAGCCGAGATCGAGGAGCTGGTGGCTTTGGAGGGTGTTTTGGGGGGTTGTTGGGTGTTTGATTCTTGCGTTGTTTGTTAAGGGGTGGGTGGATGCTGGGGGTGATGTTGATGTATGTTTGTTTCTATCTGTGTTCGAAATCTTGGGGAAAATGATTGGGATGGAATGAAATGGATGAATGAATGAATGGCGAAAACTGACAAAATTGTTTGGGTCTATAGTTTGATTTGAAGAAAGCTCTCAAGCGGGCACTAGGAGGTGGATTGAGTGGTGCTGCAGCTATGGTCTTGCAAGTTTTGCTTTTGATGGTATGGATATTCTATTCTGTTTTGTCTTGATGTAGATGGGTTTATCATGTGAGGAAAGGACTAATTCATTATAGCCACTGAGAACTATCATGAACTATCAATACAGAAGAGGAGGAACATTCACGACTACAACCAAGACTTTATACCAAGAAGGTGGAATGAGACGGTACTACCAGGGAATCGGAGCAGCCCTTTTCCAAGGTACATACATATCTTATACTCACCCAACTTCCCTATTTCACAAATATAAAAATCTAACCTCATCCCCAGGACCACTTTCCCGCTTCGGAGACACAGCAGCCAACGCGGGAATCCTAGCTTTACTTCGATCAAACACCTATCTAAAAGACCTCCCCTCGCCAATAAAGACCATCTTCGCGGCTGTATGGTAAACCACCCCCCTTTCCCGCCCAAAGAAGAAATTTCCTCCATTCCATACAAAGACTAACCCATCACCACCTCAAAGCGCCGCAACCTTCCGCATGCTCCTCACACCAATCGACACCCTAAAAACCACCCTCCAAGTCCAAGGCGCGCCCGGAACCCGTCTCCTGCGCCAACGCATCCGGGTGAACGGGGTAGGGAGTCTATGGTGGGGAGCGATAGCTACAGCAGTCGCTACATTCGTCGGGTATTATCCCTGGTTCGGCACGGTTCGCTCCCATCAATCTCAAAAATGAACCATATCACACTGATATATAGTATCTTAGTACAACTTCCTCATAGCCTCCATCCCCGAACCACCAAAGCAGCAGCTCTTACAGTGGCTTCTCCGTCTAGCATTCATCGGCTTCACCGCATCCGTCGTTTCGGATACGATTTCGAATTCCCTAAGGGTTGTGAAGACGTATCGGCAGGTTAACGATACGAAAGTCACCTACAGTAATCCCCCGTTCCTCACATTCTCTCATTGTCGTCACTAACTTTTAGCAGTCGAAGCTGCGAGACTAGTGATTCTTCAAGATGGCATCACCGGCCTCCTAGGACGGGGTCTCAAAACTAGGATTTTGTGTAATGGACTCCAAGGCCTCCTTTTTTCGATCTTGTGGAAGATATTTTTGGATTTGTATGTTTGACTTGACGCCCTTGAAAATGGGTAATTTGGACTTATCGTGACTAACTTGTTATAGATGGGAGAAGAAGACGAGTTCATAGCTCTGGAAAAGAAAGCTAGGTTTTCATCACGTCACCAATATCATCTTTTGGATTCGCTCCAGTAGAACACCCACCTCTCTCGTGTTTTTGAATTGGATATTCTAGACCAACAAAGCCAATCATCCTCAACTCATCCGCAGAAGCGAAATATGTATTTAAAGCATGGATGAGATCGGCTATTACCATAACGTATCATTTGCAAATACACATAAGAAACATACTTGTCATTCCCTATACCTCGAACGACCGCTACAGTGATTTAATTATTAAAACCCCGTTTAATTAAACTGGGAATCTAAAAACCGATTGATGAATTCTTCCTCGTGACTTTTGATTGACCTACTAATAAGTATATTTCTTATACCGACCCCTTAATGGAATAATAATATAACTTCTCATTGTATGTACTATATGATTAGAGTATTTAGCCACCAACTCACCACGCTATCCTCCCCTCTCCCCCCAGACCCCACAAATCCCAAAAACCATCCTTTCACCCATAATCTATATTCCACCCCCCTCCCCCCTCAAAAAACCCCAACCCACAACCGCCTGGTGCCCACTTATCCTCTAATCCCCTAAGTACAAAAACCACCCCACAAAAAAGGCGCACTTACTATCCATCACTCACCTACACACACTCGCTCACTTATCACATACACACACACTCACTCTCTCCCTCGCCCTTAACACTAGTACCTGTGTTCATGTTTATGTCCCTGTTCTTCCTCCCCTCCCTCGTCTTAGTAAATAATATAAGCTTCCTTTTCCAAGCCCTCGTATTCTTACTAATTATTATAGTTAGAGAACTATCTCTAGAGCTAGAACTAGTCTTATAAGCTCGAATAGTATTTTTATTATCTATAAAAGACTTAGAACTTGGAGTAGTGTTAGCTTCTAAGGTAACGTATAAATAATAGCGGTCGGGTAAGCGGACGTAATACTCTTGTATTCTATAATAGAGGGGTATAGGGCAGGTCTTCTAGGCTAAGGGGGAAGAGTTAATATAGTAGCTATTAGAGAAGTAGATTTTTTTATAGAACATTTTTGTTAGGTTAGTTTATAGGATTTATAGGATAGAGGGGGTTTATATAGGGATAGAACAGGGTGGTTTTATAGGGAACTATAGGTTAGAGGGATTATAATTTATGTTATTTTTTAGGTGAGGATAATAGAGATATCGGTTTATATTAGTAAATAGTTATTAGCTAGTTCCGAGCGTAGCGGCTCCTTTAGGTAGAACTAGCGTACTCTAGTACCTATAAGTACGTAGGAACTTAACTAGCTATACTTACTTCGGTATATAAAATAACAAGGAATTAGTTACTATAATATATAATAGTAATATAGGTCTATTATATTAATAACCTTCCTTATTATCTTTCGGCTCTATTAACTTAGAATTAAACTAATAAGAAAGGTTAGATTATATAGAACTAGGTGTTTAGTTTTATTCTTTTTCTTTAGAGGTTAAATACTTTTATTTAATTTTGTTTTCTTTATAGTTTTAGGCTATAACTATAGAATAGATATAGGCGGATTAGATACGGAATTACTAAGCTTTTAATGGCAAACTCGCCTTCTAGAGGTAGGGGGGCCTGACTCTGGAGGAACCAAGGACTTGTATAAGGCTAAATTCCTTGAATTCCTTGCTACTGTTTCAACTACAGACCTAGTAGTCTACACCGACGGCTCTCGCTTAGACGACAAGAGAACCGGGGGAGGCGTTTGTCTTACAAAGGGAGGAATTATCCTTAACACGAAGGTCTACTCCTTTGGCAAGACACTTGAAATCTACGACGCAGAGGCTAGAGCTGCTCTACACGGCCTAGAACTAGCTATTTCCTCTACTTCCTGGCCCTCGGCAAGGACGTGCTGGATTTGCCTTGACAATCTTGAAGCTACACTTCAACTGACCTACCGGTCCTGTGGCACCTCGCAAGGGACCTTTAATAGGGTTAACGAGTTAGCTCTTTTATACCCTGGGAAAGTTCAAACCAGGTGGTGCCCTAGTCACATTGGAATTCAAGGGAATGAGATTGCGGACAGAGCTGCGGGAAGAGGCGCTCGGCTACCTCCTCCTGACCCCCCTTCTATACTCTGCACTGCTACACTTAGAAGAGAAGTTAAAGAGACAGGGGTTCAGCTTGCAAAGAAACTCTGGAAAACCACGCTTCCAAGCTTATACAAGGACCTAGGGCTTAACAACTGGTCTTCGAAGCCTCAATCACTTCGCTTACCAAGGGAGGTTCTTGCTCGCTTAATTGCAGCTCGCTCTGGCCACGGTGACTTTACTCTTTATCACCTTCGCTTCTTTCACCTCGACACGCTACTTACTTCAGGGGAGTGTAAGTGTGGAAGAGAAAAGACTCAATTTCACCTACTATTTTGCCGGCTAGCAAATAGAGTAGCCCCTGAGCTATTTGCAAAGGCTCAGAGGAACCCTCAACTCCTCTTCGGACCACAATGCGAGGAACTGTTTCACAAGATCTACTATAAGACAAAGTTCTACTCTAGGATCTGTCCTCCTAGATAGTCCTCTTCTTCCTTACACTATATCTCCTCTTTCTACTGTTCTTTGGTCTCTGTCTTATATAGTTCTTCTCTTGTTCTCTACTCACTATCTTGTACACTGTTAACTTATTTTTACTCTGGCTCTTAAACTAACTCAGAATGAGAGCTGTTCCGGAAGTGGGGCTTCTCTTTAAACTATCTCTTGTAAATTAGCGCACTTTCATTTACACCCCCTGTAGCCTAGGGCACCCCCCTAGCGTCATTTGCCCAACAATGGGACTTTTAGGACCTAGCCCACGCGAGTTAGATTCCGCCTGACGTTAAATAGTAATAAATAAATAAATAAATAAATAAATATATAAGTACTTATAGAACTCTTACTCTTGCTATTATATTCTTACTATTATACTATAGAAGGTAATAATAACTCATAATCGGAAATAAATATATTAAGAATATAAAATATATATATTAATATAACAATATTTCTACTTAAGTAAGATATAAGCCTTTACTAAACCGGCTAGGCTATTATATTACTACTTTTACTTTTATTTTATTTCCTAAGCCCCTTACTTTTTCTTCTTTCTCTATAGTTAACTATATGTAACGAATACTCAAACTGGCTAACTAAACTTGGCTGGGTGTTCGCTGGTTGGTATGCTATGATAAGAAGAAGACTATCGGGTTGTTCACTTGGGAGTGAACTCGTTACTTGTATCAAAGATGTCAAACTAATATGATAAGATTGATAACTAAGTTGATAACTAAGTTGAGCACGAAGCTCCTATCTAATTGCAGAAGTGCCAGTCTTATATAGAACCTTCGTTCTCTGTGGTCGCCATGGTCGACCATGTCGCTCGTCACGTGATCCCTAGTCCAAGGAAATCCTTGGATCGCTTAGCTAACCTAAACGATCCTCATTTGCTATAAGTCTATGGATGGTGCTTGACCTGTCAGGACGCCGCCTGGTCTTCACTAGTCACGTGTGCACGTGATTCGTGGCACTATAGTATAAGACTATAATAGTAAGACTAGTAATATAAAGAGAATAAACGAAAAAAAAGAAGGAAAGTAAATAATAGTATATAAAAGCTAATAATAAATAAAATAAAGTAAAAAGAATACTTAAGTTATAGGTTTTCCTCTTTATATTTAACTTATAATAAAAGATAATTAAGTTATACTAAACTTCTAATATAAAGAAAATAAAAGTATTACTATACCTAAACTAATAAAAGTAGGTATTAATAATTATTCTAAACTCTTTATATTACTTTATAAGTTATAGCTATTTTAGTTAGTTAATACTTTTAAGATAATTTTATTCGAAAAGAGAGATAACTTATATATAAAGTGCTAACTACCTACGTCTCTTAGAAGTAATAGTTACTATAGATCTTTTAATATAAAAATCCTTATACTTATAAGAGACTTATTTATAATTGAAAGTTAAGTAATTCTATACCTAATTCGTTTATATTCGTTCTATATATAATAGGAAGCTATCTACCTATATTACTATAATTTATTCGATTATACCTCCGATTATAAAATTACTAATTAGAGAGCTATAAATATTCGCGTACTTATATGAGAAGCAGGTATAAGACAACCCTTGTTCACATTTCATAGCAGAATTTAAAGTGAATGAGGATGGGGTTGCTTAGTAAGCCATGGTGGGATATATATCCCACCCCACTACTACTGTACAATACCACACTCCACCGACACCACCACCATATCGTCAGCTATACCATTATGAGCTCTTTTGTCCCACCCACATGCCCCTCGCAAATGGCTCGCCGAGTTTTAGAGGATTTTATATATTTTCTGGTTCTTATAAGAGCGTTTTTGTACTTCCTTGCATATCTGGTCGAAGTTAGGTATCGCCCTGCCCTATACTTTATTCAAGTCCGAGCACTTGGCGTGTGCCTTTTTCTTTATTGAACCTAGGCTGTATGCCTATTTTTGAGAACTTTGTGTTCTCTCTTTTACATACTATGTACTTGTTTATAAGCTGTGTGCTTGTGTTTTTTGAGTTAGTTTTACTGTTCCCGTATGGGACGCGAGGCCGAGGGTGCTTATACTTCGCTTTCTTTCCACTTCTCTATATGTGGGCGAATTATAAGCACATGAAGCTAGCCAGCAAAATACAAAAGAAAAACCAACAATATGCCTCATTTGATGTGATGTGTACCGACCGACGAATGAACATAAACACATTCAAGATTGTAACATTCGAAACAGAATGGAGGCAAGGATTATATTATTATAATTAATATACTTACTTACCCCGATTTAAAATTTAAAATTTAAAATTTAAAATTCAAAATCCAGAAAGCAAAATGCAAAGAAGACATCAATACCTTTTAATAGACATACACTTACTACGGAAGATGGGGTAGATAGATAGGAAGTAGTAATCACATTAACAAGGTTGAAAAACAAGAGAGCAAGTCCAATACAGTATAGAAAAAGGAAGTCGAGGGGTATATTCCAACTACCTATCATCCCCATCTATAAAAATACACCAACCAGGCAAAAAGAAAGAGAAACAAAAAACACTCAAGTTTTGCCTCATAGATGATGTACAATATCATTCACATAACATTTCCAAAAGTAAAAAATGTTATTTTCCCAACGCCTCATAAGATGCAACGCCAAAAAATCGTATCATATCCATTCATCCGGCCTGACACCACCTTTTTCCTTCACACCAATATTATCCTAGCCTCTCCGTACACTACCATTATCCGTCGTCACCATTTAAATGGCAGCATGAGAGTATGGCTCGTAAGCACCGTTCTTGTAAGCAACAGGCTTGGGCTGCATACCACCACTGGCGAAAGCACCGGCTCCGTTGTTGTAGGCAGTGTTATCATCCACACGGTGGTATTGACCAGTTGGGATGAGCTTCTCGTTGTCTCCACTTCTGCGGTTCTTCTTGGAGCTGCTTGTACCACAACAGCAGACACTGGCAAGCCAGAAAATGCCAGCTCCCAGGGAAAACGCAACGGCCAACCAGGTGGTGGCGAGCCATGAGGTATTGAGGTGTGCCTTGACATTGTAGGATTTCTCAACACCCTTGATGGCTGAAACAACGACGGAGCTCTCAATGGTGGCCATCAAGGAGGCGATGAAGACGGAGGTTGATGCGACTCCGGAAACGAGGTAAGTGAGGCATGATGCTCCTTGAGAGAAGATTGCAAAGATACCGAAGAAGAGGGTAATGGCGGCTGAGATGATGGCAATGATGTAGACAACCGAAGTCCACTTGTGGACCTTTTGGAAAGTCTTGAGAGCGCCTTTGAGCTCCTGTGGGAGAGAGGCGTTGTTGTAGTTGGTCATGATGCGGACTTGCTCTCGCATCTCGGTGACATTAGTTGCTCCCTCAGCCCAATTGAATTTGCCATCGGTACAGGTGGTTTCAGTTCCATTTGTTTTGCAGTAATTCCAAAGGTTGACCTTGTAGCTATCGGCGAGTCCAAGAGAAGCAGCGGTGATATTTCCTGGAGTTGGTCCTTGAGCAGCCACGATTTGTCCACCCAGACCCGGTCCCTTGTTGCTTGCAAGATCGACAATGTTGAGGAGTGTGGAGGTTGAGACGGAAAGGTTCTTGGTCTCAAGCTCAAACATGTCGAGCGACTTGTTGGTGATACCAGCAAGCATGGCAATCATGATGCATATCAGCGACGCCGTGGTGAGCGCAGCTGGCAATGCCACGCACATAAATCTTCCGATGCCCATTTTCGAAGTGTTTGGATTACTTAACGAGAGTTATTCGTAGGAGGTTGAGCGAGGGTCGACAGAGGCAAAGATTCGAAACGAAGGAGGAAACGCGAGCCGTGGGTCGAGGCGCGTCTTTATCCGATTTGGTGATATCGAAGATTCAAAGATTCGATGATATTGATGGAGTTGACAGTGAAGGAAAGATTAAGACGGAGTGGAGGGGAAACGTCGAAGGAGGAACGGACTCAGGAGAATAAGATGAAAACAATCAGCGCAGGGCAGCGGTGTTTATGTACGGCGGAAGCGAATGGTTTGAGGTTGGTTGCTCCTGACACCCCTTGACCTGAGCCACTGCCACAGGACCAGTGAAGGCAGGTGCTTGTGCAGGGGATTACGAGCTGGCTGGGGAGGGGGGGCGCAGTCAGCAACTGGCAACCCTCTGGAACTTGAAGCCGTGCACAGGCATTGCTCAAGGGTACGACGGGGCTGTGAATAGAGGCAAGCGAGCATGACGCCGCAGTATTGCGTGTGAAGGAAGATTGGGGAGAGGAAGAGCACCATTTCACGACTGGCCGAGGGCTCCTTCACCTGCAGTCGAATGCCTCCATTTCCTTGATAGATTCCGAGTTGTTTGGTGGTTCGAAAAGCGCTCTCTGACATGATCTTCCCGTCTCATTCTGTCATCTACTTCTTTCCTGTCGATCCCCCTCAAAAAGTATCAGTCAAAGTGCTCTCAGAGTCCCAAGTGGCTTGATCTCCACCAACACGACTCTCAGCAGGGGCAGCCTCGTTGTCGTGGTGCGAAGAAATCCATTCCGATACTACGCCGACGCCCGTCAGGTTAGAAAATCTATTTTTATATTTTAATCCCATTCGCCACATCTCCATTTTCAAGACTCAAGACTTCTAAAGCCTACGCTACCAGCATGAAAGCCCTTCCATTGGCCAGATATGGATGATAATCATCGACAACAGATCATTGAATTTTGATAAGCTTCTCGGTGGACGATGTGGACGAAAGGCTGTGTCTCCACGTAACTCTCAGCGGCGATGGAGAGGCTGAAGGTCTTGAGCATAACTCAAGCAAATAAGATAAAGTTCGTGAGTTCTGGGGTAATGATACCGTTCTGGAAGGAAGGATAGCGACCACGGGAATACCGACCTTTTATATTCACAATCTACCGGTACTTTGTAAATTAAAGAACATTACGTCAAGCACTGTAAACAAAACACCGAAATCGGATTTGGGGGACTTTGAAGATTCTGATGGAGGATTCGGTTGGTGTTTCAGGTGAAACCCAATTCGGTTTGCCCTGTCTTGACCCCTTGGCATTAGCGAGAACATTTTATGAACTCACGTGGTTGGATATCTGAACGAAGACATTCACGTAACCTGGGAGTTGGATATATCACAAGGTGGGGTGAATCTGACAAGGCTGTGAGCTTCTGAACATTTCGACATGCTGTTGGAAGGCAAGGCTGCGGATGGGGATATTGAAAGGTGGAGTTGCACATCTCCGACTTGGTACTTGTATACTCACTTTCCCTTCCGAAATATCAGACCATATTGATATCTAAACGAAAAGTTCTGCATTCATCGTCATCCAGCTGGTTGGTTGCCAGGGAGTCAGCCAGATTGAAGAAATAATGTGGTCATATTTGCTGATACAATCTTCCTTCTGAGAGGTTCTGGCTAGAAGTTGATGGGATGTATAACTTTCTCTCGGATCTACTGAAGGCTGCACGACCTATTAGAGGCACGTCATTCACAAAAGGACAAGCGTCTTGTGATGATAGATTCCGAGTGGCTTTGAAAATTATCGTATATTTGTGGATAGGTCTGAAATCCAATATAAATGAAAAGTAATATCAACTACTAATTCGTGCGAGTTGACAGAAACGTTGTAGATGAAGAAGACCGGAAGTATCAAGAGAAAGCAAATTCACTTGACAACCATAACCGCTAAATATTCACTCTTTACGGAACCATCACCACGTTCTTGTACTCAAGTAGCATAGGTCAACTCGCTTATATCCGACTATTTACTCCTCTCAAGATACACGTTCGGAAGATGCAGAAGTGAAAAGGAAATCGTCGACCTTATCGAACCTTATCGATGTCCCCTGAACAACACAACTTTGATGATCTGCCTCTTGCGCCTCACACCGACAAAGTGTTCACCGTATGGCACATGTTGAACCGCCCATCATTTGGCCAGCAGTTTTGGTAGCGATCGCCTCAACCTCATCTGCTAGAATTACGACGTATGAACGTCCTCGAGTACCCAACGCCGGCACTCACAGGGGAACTGAATATCTATCGGCTTCCATCGACTGCTCCCAATTGCAAGGGCGACTCCACGGGTGCCCAACGCTGTGCTGGGGTGACTAGAGCCTCTGTGCGAACTAGATCAATCTTGCAGGTTCTTTGTGACGGCACACCTGAACCCCACAATTGGGCCAGTCATAGCCTGACAGCAAGTACAAGAGAAAGGTCAGCCGCGAAGCCGACCAGAAATATCAGTACCTAAATACGTGTATCAGTACTAATACCAAGAAAGCCCGGAAAGCCGTACATTGCGTGGCGTGGCTGTATTGTTGACTGCTATTGCATGCGTTGAATAAGAAGGTGATTAGATTGCATGCTGTCCTTCTTTGCAGCTTCCCTTTGGACACCATCCCATCGCCATCTCATCACCATCATCATTACCATCCCAGGTCCCCCCACGCTGCAGAGGCAAGAACCGCCAACCGCTCACCCGTGCCTAGACCGACCGTACCCTACTATCCGATTACCCTACCACCAACTACCCTACAAACGTACAGGTCAGTACTCACCAGGCACCGCACCGCATCGTACCTCAGATCTCGCACCTTCAGTCTACTCGTACAGTTCACTGCCGGCCAGGTACACAATCAGGACTCCAACATTCACCAGCCTGTATAGACATCTCTGCTACATTTGCCCTCCAGGCTCTCGGAACCTGCGAAACATTCGCTGACGCTGAACCGCAAGCCAAGACTCGATAGACGACTCCTGCCTCTTAGCATCCCCATCTCCCGAGCCTTGCCTCAACCCAGCAACGCAACAACACCATCCTGAGCCACAAACTCGAATCATCAACACCACTCGTGCCTGGGCGTACATTGAACACCCAAACCCCGACTTCTACCCAGGGATATACTGGCTTTTGCACAAGCGCGAGGGACTTGTAACGCTGCCGTCCGATTACATCTTATCTCCGCATTTCTCAAGCTTCACCGCAGACATCATCCACCCAGCGATACACAATCACACAAAGCCCACCTTTGTCACGCCTTCAATCGTCCTAAACATTTATGATTCCGATCACGTTTGCAGGGCACAATCATACCACAGTCCCTACCACCCTCGCAGACGCAATTAGGTGACGATGGGAAATCAAAACTCCAAGGGCTCCGGGTCCGCCACGCCGAAACGAAGCGCATCCCAAACATCACTCGAGAGAAATACCGATAATCTTCAATCCTACCCCTCCTTTAGTAAGGCAGATACCAAAGATTCCACGCGCTCCATCCGCGGGGCCTTGAAGTCAAAAATTCCAGGCAGAACAGATAGTCCCCGAAACTCAACCGCTGGATTAAGCAATGGGGACACATTGACTCCAGAAAAACCAGACAATCCAGATGCTGCGTCGGTGCGATCTGCCAGGAGTGGAAGACCTGGTGTGTCTAGAGCGAACAGATCTGATGGTCCTGACTCACCGCAAACGGCATCAACTTCAACACCTGCACCCCTCCAACAGGACACCCTGATGGAAGATGCCCCGGGGTTGGACGACCCTAAACCACCCCCATCACCGATTCAGTCGGCTTCGATTATGAAAGGACATCATGATGTGGATGCCGCTCAGAGGAGTGGAGAGGTTGACCATGTGTCAGATCAGCCGCCGACGGGGGGGAGTTCACCTAATGGGCATCTGCAACGTGCTGGGCAATCCATTCTTGTCAAGAGGGCAAATATGATCAATCCTATACAGCAAGAAATTCTTGCTGCGAATGTTGCAATCGATGCCGCGGCATCAAACCAATCTTCTATTGGCATGGACGAGATGAAGGATGCAGACGTGGACGACTATATCAAGCGACTTTTGGACGCTGGTTATGCTGGCAAGAATACAAAGGGAGTCTGTTTGAGGAATGCTGAAATCACATCCATTTGTACGAGAGTGAGGGAAATCTTTCTGGAGCAGCCTCCGCTCATTGAGCTGGATGCCCCAGTCAAGATTGTGGGAGATATCCATGGGCAATACTCGGATCTCATTCGTATGTTTGAGATGTGCGGTTTTCCCCCTTCTTCCAATTTCTTATTCCTAGGAGATTATGTTGACAGAGGGAAGCACTCTTTGGAAACGATACTTTTGTTGATGTGCTACAAGATCAAATATCCCGAGAACTTCTTCTTGCTGCGAGGAAACCACGAGTGCGCCAATGTGACGCGAGTATACGGGTTTTACGATGAATGCAAGCGCAGGTGCAATGTCAAGATTTGGAAGACGTTTGTGGACACTTTTAATTGTGTAAGTCATGATCCCACGTCCCTATATATATGGTCTGCTAATCTTGCAACAGCTTCCAATTGCTGCTATTGTAGCAGGGAAAATCTTCTGCGTACACGGTGGTCTATCACCCGCTCTCAGCCACATGGATGATATTAGACACATTGCTCGACCAACAGACGTACCCGATTTCGGACTATTAAACGATTTGCTATGGGCAGACCCGGCGGATCAGGAAAAGGATTGGGAATCTAGTGAACGAGGTGTCAGTTATTCTTTTGGGAAGAAGGTCATCACGGAGTTTTTGGCTAGACATGATTTTGATTTGGTGTGTCGGGCACATATGGTGGTAGAAGATGGATACGAGTTTTTCGAGGATCGAATTCTGGTGACGGTATTTTCGGCCCCCAATTACTGCGGAGAATTTGACAACTACGGTGCTGTGATGAGTGTTTCTACGGAATTACTCTGCAGTTTTGAACTTCTCAAACCTCTTGATTCGAGCGCTCTCAAAAGTCAGATGAAGAAGAGTCGAAATAAGCGCAACAGCATGGTCAACAGTCCTCCACCGGGAGGTGCTTATCCTCAAAGCGTCTGATCGATTTTGACGTATCTCAACTCTGATTGTCGACAGACAAGACTACACAATGTTGTCGGGGGCGTATTGCAGCGGCTGATTCACACAAACGTACCTCGAGGCGCATATTAGGAGTATCCTTGGCTCCGGAAAAAAAGATTATATTTCTACGCGACTCGCTACAGGCCATAATTGCACGATAATTAATGGCTATTTGGCTTCTGTGGGGATGGCAAAGATTAGAAGTGGCCGAGGGATGCACGCATACCAAAAACACAAAGTTACAAAGAACCGCAATCTATAAAGGACCGGCCGTGCGCACTCTCTGCGGACTCAATCATGAAAGGATTATCAAAATATCATGTTGCCATTCCTCTCCCAATCCTTTTCTTTCTGGGTGGGCGTTTTGAGAAGCGTTGATGTTTGGGCTATGGATTGATGATGGATGCATTGGCCTGAACTACGGATTCTCTCACTCTTATCCTTTTATTTGTTTTTTCTTCCCTTGGGGATTTGGTAGAATGGAGTGTGTACCCGTATTGGTGTTGTATTAATATTCGCGGGCATGGAGAGAGATGGGTAGTTAAGGGGTTGATAAAAATGCGTATGCACGTCTGCACGGCAAGAATATGGGTGGGTGTGTGGATGTGTAGCGGTAGAGGAACGTGGAGTGAATGAGTGGGTTTATCGTAGATTCTTTTGGTTTTTGGTCTTTTTTTTTCTTCCCTTCTTCTTCTTCGTGATTGATTGTGGGATGGGTATCATTGGTGTTTTTGGAAGATTCCTCTTTTTTTTTCCTCATCTTTTTTTTTATAGTAGATAGGGTGGTTTGTGGGTAAGGTTAAGTGTGTGTGGTGGGGTGAGTGAATGGTGGATGGTTGGATGGATGGGTGGATAAGATGAAGGTGGAAAGAATGGAATGGAATGGAATCAGTTTGTTTGGTTGAATGAATGAATGAGGAATTCTTTGGTCTCTGATGTCTGCCTGTCTTACCTTGTGTTGTGTGCAATTCTTGGGAAATTTGGGGGACTTTCTTTGCCCGAGTGAAAGAGTGATATTACCTTGATCCATGCATGGTACCCTAGCCTGGCCTCTTTTGTGGTTACTAAGTACACCTTGGTCATCTTTATCATTAGAGGGCATAAAGGGAAGTGAGGTGAGGGGATGAAGGAGGAAGTAAGTGAGTGAGGAAGTGGGTTTGTAGATCTCCAGGGGGGAAGAAGGGGGTATTAGGGAAAAGAGAGGACTAGCGTGGAAATTAATTAGATTAGATTAACTAGCGAGGTAGGTCTTAATCTAAGTTCATCTAATTAACTATACCTCCTAATTACTAATTAGTAGCTTAGAAGGAACTTACAGACCTGGGTATCGATATATCGATGCCGTATAGGTGGGTACTCGATATATATTATATCAGAAATATTTAGACGATACAATATCGCTAAGAATCCGATAATCGATATAATATCGATTATCGGCCACGTAACGTGGAAAATCTATAAATCCGGCCCCGGACTAATAGAAAGACCTTAGTAGCACGATCTTAGACCTACTAATAATACTATTATAAAACGCTCTAATTTTAACTTATATATAAGTTAGTGGCTTAAGGTTATTATAGTTGGAGATATAACTTATTTAAACCTTTTAGTTTATAGTTTATTATTATTAAGTAGATATCCTCTAGAGACGGTAATAATTCTCTCTTAAGGTATAGAGTATAATAGGTAGGGGGTTGTCACGAATCACGTGTTGGCATGTGATAAGCAAAGACCAGGCGGCGTCCTGACAGGTTAAGCACCAGCAACACACTCTTATAGCAAATAGGGATGCTTAGGCTAGCTAAGCGATCCAGGGATTTCATCTGATAGAAGTCATGTGACCGTCATTGATCATTGGTGATCAACTGAGCAACGCTGAGCTGGATCAGTGGGATCAGGGTGATCATAATGAACAACGAGCAAGAAGGTTCTATATAAGACTGGCACGTCTGCCATTAGATAGGAGCTTCGTGCTCAACTTAGTTATCAATCTTNGGGATTTCATCTGATAGAAGTCATGTGACCGTCATTGATCATTGGTGATCAACTGAGCAACGCTGAGCTGGATCAGTGGGATCAGGGTGATCATAATGAACAACGAGCAAGAAGGTTCTATATAAGACTGGCACGTCTGCCATTAGATAGGAGCTTCGTGCTCAACTTAGTTATCAATCTTATCATATTTGTTTGACATCTTTGATACAAGTAACGAGTTCACTTCCAAGTGAACAACCCGATAGTCTTCTTATCATAGCATACCAACCAGCGAACACCCAGCCAAGTTTAGTTAGCCAGTTTGAGTATTCGTTACACTCGGATTGCTTGAGCACAGACTTCAAAAAACTGAAGAAGCGCTGTATAAAACCCTCTCCGAACTCAAGCTTCTGAAAAACAATCAAAGTGGTCCAGACAAACCCATCATCCCCGCGCTGAGGTCTTATGATGCAAACATAAGTGTAAGAGGTATCGGTTATATACAGAGTGTATATAAGACAGTTGAAGTAGGATGATCAGATGACTGTTAGGTACATCGGGAATTAAAAGAGTAAGAATTTGACTTGTGAAAATGACTTGATTTTTCTAACTATAAGGACAGTAAAGGTCTATATATTCTCCTGAGATAGATTCTAGGAGGTTCTATAGATTATAAATAGATGTTGTGCTGGGTCTACTTTCTCTTTTGCTCCACTTCCTTATTTGATCCACTTATAGCTCTGCTGCCTAAATGCTTCATGTCTGCCTAAACCTTACACTCTTTATATAAACACCTTAGATAGCTACCTTTTACAATGCAATCAATTCTCCATGACCTTCAGTACCCAATACCCTTTCAACCCAATAATAGAATAGAAGTGCTTATAAATAGAAAGGGATACTAGAATGTTTCGGTTCACGTCATCGAACGTTCTAGAATAAGCGAGAACAGACTAAGGTTTAAACCTAAAGTCTATTAGTAAGTAAGGTAATTATTACCTAAATGAAACAATAAGTAAGCAAACAAGAATGGAAGAGTGGAAAGACTATCCGCTGGAAAGTTCGCAAGACCTTGAAAGTTGGCAGAGGTACATGGGGTCGAATGAAGTATCGATTCCAGGTTAGTTACCAGCTCTCTAGACCCCAGTTGAACTAAAGAACTTGAATCATTAGGTGGTGAACTTCCAATTGAATCTCAGCGTCCAAACAAAACCCCAACCCCGGACCAAAGGAGAGCACCAATGCCTGAAGATACATCGTCATCATATCGCGGCATCGACATGAACTTGTCACCCAAATTCATGGCGCCATGTCAAGGTTATTCGATCATGGCAACTGATGGAATCTCAAACAAAGAACCATCAGTATATGGCCAATCTCATCCGGCAACGTCCGATGAAGGGATGGAAATCGCTGAAGAATTTCAAAATGATAGTACTGAAACCTGGCAAGTTAAGTCACAGATCTTTTGTAAGTTCCAGTCTGATTGTCGAATAGGGAACCAAGCGTCATACGAGGATCTTCGATTAAAACGATCACAAGCCCTATCTTTGCAACTGAAACACATATATTATTGAAAAGAATGTCTCTGTCGTTATAGTCAGTCACTAAAGAGAGTAAAGTCAAGCTTAACAATACCTTCTAGGCCTCTTGAGGAGACATAGATGCGGTAAATCCAGTATTTGTGGAGACACATGCGTCAATGAATCCACAGGTTCGTATCAAACGAGGAACTGGGACACTTTCGCTTTCAAAGAACAAAGAGCAACTTGGTGTCATGAATTTCAAATCCTCTGTAATTCATTGGTAAAAATCACCAACATGATTGAAACTCCAATTCTCTAACAAGTCCCTAATTTTACGACAGTTTATACTCAACCCCCCAAACAAACATTTTGGTCGCAGGAGATATTTACAGTAAGGTTAAACTGTGGATAGCTAGATCCGAATTTAGATTGTTTGCTCTATTGCCTGTTACAAATCAATAGGCTATGGCACCACGGATGTCTCAAAGTCCCGCAAGACCTACAGAAGATTTCCAGGACTGACAAAAGCCCAGCGAATGAGCCAACGAAAACAAGGAGCGAAAAATAACCCTGGATTGCGGTGCTCCATTGACGTGAATGTCATGCGAATTAACATGCGTTCCGCTTCTATCTTCTAAGCATTGTAATCTGGGGCGAAACGCCACCAGAGGTCTGGGGAGACTGGATCAATTGCTCCAGGAATACTAAACCTCTGCAGCTTACACATAATCGATGCATAGCTGATACCCATGGCAGTGAAAGTTGAAGGTGGACTGAAAGGCTATCGGACGACCGTTAGCGAGTAGCTCAATTCGATCGCGTGTTTTTCGATTTAGGTATCAATACTTACGGCCTGGTGACTTTGTCATGACATAGTAAAGATCTTACTCATCTCTAAGCAGGTTACATTGCATTTGACCTCTTGTTACACGGCATATAAGCTTATCCACCCCTCAAATACTCCAGATTCTTTAAAAACATTTACTACCCATTCCACTTCTCGATTATTCGCACAATTTGTCCATCCTTAATTCCAATTCAACACCGAGTGAAATGCCAGAAGTTTATGATTTCATTGTTGTCGGAGGTAAGAACACTCCCACAAGAGTAGTGATAGCATTACTAATCCCAAACAGGTGGAACCTCAGGTTGTGTAATTGCAAGCCGCTTAGCATCCTCTCCCTCCGCACCCCGAGTTCTCCTGCTCGAAGGCATGAAACACCATTCATCATTCAAGCAACAACTTGAAGTCCCGGTATCAAACTAATAACATTTACAGGCGGAGGCACGAATTCCAACCCACTCTTCCGAACACCAGAAAACCGCTGGGCCTTAGTATTTACCGAGCCATCCGTAGAATGGGGCTACACAACCACTCCCCAGATGCATCTTGCCGGCCAACAAATTCCCTGTTTGAGAGGAAAGGGCTTAGGTGGCTCTAGTGCTGTGAATTTCGCTTGTTGGGTGATTGGAGACAAGAATGATTATGATGAATGGGCGGAGTTGGTAGGTGACGATGATTGGCGATGGGAGGGCGAGAATGGAGTGAAAACTAGACTTAGGAAGATTGAAAATGTGCATGATGTCGGTGAGGGCGTGACGGAGGCGCAGAGAGCTTTGGCGGATAATGAGTTGTTGAAATTGCATTCGAAAGAGGGGATGGTTGATGTGTCTTATGACCAGTTTTGGGAAGGCCGTGAGCTCATGGCTATGCAAATTGCACAGGAGATGGGTGTAAGCTCGCTTGCGTCTTATGATTTTCCAGATGATATTTGCTAACGTGGATGTAGATTCCAATCAATGGCGACATGAACTCTGGCAACCCTCATGGCCTTAGTCTTGCCCCATCCACGTTTGGCAAAGGAGCCCGTACTACTTCAGCATCAGCATACTTAAATTCTCCACCTGGAAACCTTACCATAGTCACCAACAGCATTGTGGACAAAGTCATATTCGACGAATCTAAGCGAGCAATTGGAGCTGTGACCATTGAAGGAAAAGTATATAAAGCCTCGAAGGAAGTTATAATTTCCGCAGGCGCTTTCGACTCCCCAAAAATCCTACTTAGATCTGGAGTTGGACCAGCAGATGAATTTAGTGAACTCTCGATTCCAGTCATCGAAGATATTCCTGGTGTTGGAAAAAACCTTATGGACCATTGTCTTTGCAACATTACCCATATTTTGAAAGACGAGCTCGTGCCTATTATCAAGTCCAAAGCCCGAGATCCTCTACTTAATTCAGGTGAACAGATTCCCATGGCTTGGGTGCAATTGCCAAAGATTATCGAGTCACCAGAATGTAAGATAGCCCCGCAGTTTATTTCGTCCTATATTGTACAACACCACTCTCAATTCTCCCAAACAACCTCAAAATCCAGCACATAACATCCCAAAAACTAACAAAACAACCCAGTCAACGCACTCCCCCCACACGTCAAAACCCACATCTCCAAAGTCCCCACCACAGAAATCATAATCTTCGGCATCAACCTCGGCGTCGCGCTCCCCAAACGAACCACCCAAATCCTCAACATCACCGTCGGAACAATGAACAACCAATCCACCGGCACCCTAAAACTCACCTCCCCAGATGCCGCAGCGCCCGCACTAATCGACATGCAATACCTCTCGCATCCCTACGACCGGCGCGTCGCAATCGAGAATATCCGTGTCGCCATGGAAATGGGCAAGTCACCTTCCCTCCAAGCGCTTACGGAGAGTATCCTCGTTGCGCCGAAAAGCGAGAGTGAGGAGGATATTTGGGAGTTTGTGAAGGAGAAGGTTAGTCCCATCTACCATTTTGCGGGGACCTGTAAGATGGGGAGGGAGGAAGACGAATTGGCAGTTGTGGATGCGAGTTTTAGGGTGAGGGGATTAAAGGGGTTGAGAGTTGCGGATCACAGTGTGGCGCCTTTGATGGTTAATAACCATACGCAGAGTACTTGTTATCTTATTGTAGGTCTCCCTATTCTCGTTACAACTTGAGTATTGGAGTTGTCGCTAATGTGTTGGATAGGGAGAGACCGCTGCGGAGAAGCTTATTAAGGAGTATAAGTTATAAGAAGTTCAAAGAGGTAACTGGGTATTAGCTCATGCTCGGTATCAACGAGATTTAATTACGATTACTCTATGTTACCTTATTATCCTCTATTGTAAGCTTCCTTGAAAGGCCAATATGTGTCTTGTAACTTTGCCACTTCATCGCGTAGGTGTTAGCTATGCAGGTAACCAATTAACCTTATAAATCCTCTATCGCAACCCAGAGATAGACTTATCCACCGGCTTATAACCTAGCTCCCTCGCGTATCTCTAACTCCCACAAAATCCGCAGAACAGCATCAACACACACAACGCACCAGAGGCACCCACAGTCTCCCCGAGAATTCGCCTCCTCCAAACATCGTAACATAATTATCCACACACCCCCAACTCCCCACACAACAAGCGAAAAACACCAGATATCCATACAACTATCCAAATACCCCTCGAGCTCCCACCACCACGCAAACTGGGATCCTACCCGCCTTGCCTAGCCTAGTCAGTCAGTATATATTCCTCCAAAAGCGCCAACACCACGAAGCTGTTTCCCCCGCTCCGCTTACCTGGACGCGCCTTGGTCAAGCGTTAGTCCGCTTAAAAGAACATGTACAGTAAGTTCTCCCTTGATACTATCTTATGATGTGTATATCAATACTTCGTAGGGAAGAAGAAAAAAAAAGGAAAGAAAAAAAGAAAAAGAGCGAAGATAAATACCCCTTAAAAAACCTACTACCGTAGTCATGGTAGGTTTCTCCCCAAGGGGCTTCCCGGCACGGCCGAAGAGCCTAAAGGTTTTATCATTCTACCCACGAGTACTTTATTTTCTGGGTTACTATATAGTCCTATCTCTCCTTGTTTGTACTTCATAAGAGCTAAAGTATACTAAACCTTTCCAACAAAATCCAATTTCGAACACGATAGTTTAATCCTCTATAGAAACAGTTACAAGATCTTCCCACGATTCCTCGCTACCGGGAGTAGACAAAAGACATTCCCCTACTTCTAATCGGTTCCATCTTATAGTATCAAGAAAGAGCCGTATCTATAAGACTACCCTACCCCCTTGGAAGATTACCATCCTCCCATTCTACCTCTGCCTCAGACCTCTCGTGCGTCCTAAAGAGTCAAGACCGACCAACCAACCACATAACCATCAGCACACAATCATCACGATACCATCCATCCATCCATCCATATATCCATCCATCCCAAACACAGCATCCATCCAACACCCCTCGTTCCCCCTCATTCCAACTCACCATCTATCCATCCATCCCTCACATCACAACACCTCAAATATCAAGATACCAGTATACCCTACATACATCCATCCATCCATCCATCCACCCATCCATCCACCCATCCATCCCAAACATACCATCTATCCAACATACCCCTCCCCTCCCCTCCCCTATATATCC